TGCTCAATTAGTATTAAGCTTGTCATTTAAGTTTATCATGCCCGAAACGCTTTGCGTATAGTGGCTTTAGGCATTGTATGTACTAGCTCTACCTATAAGTCAACCAATCTTTGTAAAAATTTATTGTATGTATGTACCTTACCTAAATAAACATTTTTTTTTTTTTTTTTTTTTTACAAGCTGAGGGTAGGAGTTGAACGAAAAGCACCAGAGCTGAGGCGCAACCCAGTATGGTGCAAAGGATCAAGACGGCGAAGAGTAGGAGAAGCAGAAGAGTATGCAGGGCAACCATAATGGAGCTTAGACAGTACGAGAGAGGAATGCAAATGGAGCGTGAGCCTATCCGCTCCCCAAGAAGTATGGGACAAAACCTTAAGTAGGTTAAGGGCCTTAGAGCATTCAACATGGAGGTAAGCGACATGGGGCGACCAAGACAAACGAGTGTCAAAGAATAACCCGAAAAGCTTGGCAGAATCTTTGTACTCAAGGGGATGATCATAAAGTGACAAAGAGGGACGAAGAATGACCCGCTTCCAAGTAAAAGTCATGGCTCAAGTCTTGGTAGTAGAGAACTTAAGCCATGATTGGTGGCCCAAGATGACACGGCATCAATCGCAAGTTAAAGCCGCTGTTGAAGGAGAGGCGAATCATCACCCCGACAGCAAAGATCGTCAACATAAAGAGCGAAGAAGATGCCAGAAGGAAGGGAGGAAAGAAGGGCAACCAGAAAAAAAATAGTAGTACTCAGAACACTACCTTGGGGCACACCTTCATACTGCCGAAAAAGAGGCAGAGAAAGTGGTACCAAGCCTGACTCGAAAGGTACGACGAGAGAGAAATATAGCAAACAAGGTAATGCCTTATGCAAGCATTCATTAATTGATGACCAAACCACACCTCTGAAAATGAGAAAATGATGACATTTTAGTCTATCCTGGACCACTATCAAGTCAGTAAATTACCAGACTTTATAATGGTCCAGGAGGGACCAAAACATGTCGTTTCTTCATTTTCTAAAAATCAGCAGACTTCTAGATGTTACTACTGCTCGGCTTAGACTCGGTTACAAGTATCTCTGGGAATTCTCATTATCTGCTGATGTAGACCTGACCAAATGTAAACTGTGTCAACAAAATTATTCGCACACCCTCCGTCACTATGTGATGGAGTGCGAAAAGATACGTGAATTTAGAGACAATTCTATAACCAATGTTCCAGCGATGTGTCAATATTTCATTCAAAATGATCTGCTACCAGAAATTTTAGCCAAATATCCCCAGTTTGCTAACTGTAGGTAGTAACTAAGTGATTGCCGCTGCCCACTGGATGGGGGGCGGTGTGCAGGACAAACATATCAATTTTGACACTAGCTCTCCACATATGTCAGTTGCTTAATTTAGAACCTGTACTTGAGGTCGATCTCGAACCCATTGTTGATGTGATGACTTATATTGAATTTTGTAACTAGCTCATCAAGATTGTAACTTCCTTAGCTAAATGAATTGTGGGGTTCAGTCCCTGAGCCCATTATGTGCCTCTGTAACCCTTTCCACTACCACCCACAAGATGGGTATGGGGTGCATAATAAATGAACTAAACTAACTGGTTTGGTCATCATATCTTCAGCCATGTTATTGTGATGCATTGTCTGCATATTAATTTTTTTTATTTTGCAATACCGTATAATGTTTGTGAAGCACACGAGGCAAGACCTACAAGTGGCCGTTGTTCTCAGCAAAGCATCATATCAATACAAAACACCCAGAAAAATAAAAAGTGTACAAGTAAACTCATACCATACATAGTAAACATTTAACCTTTTCCTTTAATGATCTCTGTCATTGCAGCAATTCACAACTGCACATTTCCTAGCATGTGTGGCACAAGTGGCAATTGTTTAATGTATATATTCAACAAATACAAGATTCTTTGATATCGAGTATTGCTTAACCGTTAAAGTGCGCATCACGTCATATGACGTGCTAGGCGTTGTACCAGTCAACTGCGCTTCATGTCATATGACGTATATGGGTACCGCGCACGATTTGAATGTCCTGCGGTGTAGCTGGGGTTCCCATACGCTGCCCAGGGGCTATAGTAAACAGCGGCCATTTTTTAAAAAATTCCCGCTCACGAACCGAAGGCGTGGGGGGCCTCAGTTTAGCGAGTCACCATAGCGAGCGCACGGTCAAACGCCTCACGGGCACGCACCACTCAATCCCTCACCCCAGAGCAAATAGCCCACGAATTATTCTCTGAAGGTGAAGAAAGTGTGTTTGATGATTCAGACAACGATGAGGATTATACACAGTTGTCGGGTGATAGTAGCAGCAACAGTGAGTGACAATGCTCGCCATGCCATGGCGAGGCCTCTACGCTCACCCATGCCTCCTCGGCCAGTTTCTACCCCAATTCTACCACGACCTCACAGTTCCTGTGGATATTTTCTGTTTGAGGGTGACGAGTCAGAGGGAGGTGACTCCTTTTCTGGGTTTAGTGTCTCAGATCATAGTTTTATTGAGCCTGTGGCTGGTACCAGTGGTGTAACTGGGCGAGAAATTGTCGCGTCAGCAGCATCTCGCCCAGCCAAGCGCCACCGCATGGCACCACATGAGGGACCAAGACCCTCGTGTTCACGTGCATCCACCTCCCGTGCATCCACCTCACGTGCACGTAGCCGCCGTGCTTCTCGCAGACGGTATTCAGCTCCTGGTCACCGGTATGCATCGCTTCCTCGCCGTCTTTCCTCTGCATCTCGCAGGACGCCTGGTGTACTAGAGTGGAGTGATGGTGACTATTTTATTCCTAATATTCCTCACTTTGACGATAAAGATGTAGGGATTACAAACCTTTTCCCTAATCAAGGTGAGGACATGGCTGAGATGGAATATTTTACAGCATTCTATGATGCACCACTCATGGAATACATTGTTCACCAAACGAACCTGCATGCTGCTTACCTGATTGAGAGGGAAATCACAGAATCTTCCTGCCTGCAGCGTTGGAAAAATACCAGTTGCGGAAATGTATGAGTTTTTGGCACTCTGTTTGTTGATGAAACAGTCACAAACATGCAATAAGTGACTATTGGAGCAAGGACCATACAATACCAACACCTTTATTCAGGAAATATATGTCACGAGACAGGTTTCAGATACTCCTCAGGTGTCTACATTTTGGAAGTGTTCAGGACCGAACACCTGATGATAGACTGTGGCGAGTGAGGCACTACATGAACGATGTTATTGGAAAATTCAGATTTTTACGTACCAGCACAGAAGCTGGTGGTTGACGAATCTCGTACTTTTCAAGGGACGTGTTCCATTAAAACAGTACATTCCCTCAAAACGAAACCGATTTGGCCTGAAATTTTTTGCTTTGTGATTGTGAGACAGGATACGTGTTACACATGATTCTGTACTCGGCTAGTGATGTAGACATTCCCGGTAACGACGAACATGGATTCTCGGGGAGTGTAGTGAAGACCATCATGGCTCCGTGGATGAACAAGGGACACATTTTATACACGGATAATTACTATACAAGTCCCTTGCTAGCTTGGTTCTTGCTAGAAAATAGAACCGGATTGGTTGGTACAGTAAAGCCACAACGAAGGGAAATGCCTGTGTTTGACAACGACATTGCAGTTGGCGAGTGTCAGAGAAGGAAAAGTGATAACATTCTGTCAGTTCGGTGGAAAGACAAAAGAGAAGTGAATTTGACAACCATTCATGATGGAACAATGGTGAACAGTGGGAAAGTGAGCCATAAAACAAACGCACCACTATATAAGCCAGACTGTGTTTTAGACTATAATATCAACATGCGGTTGATTGATAAATCAGACATGATGATGATTGGCACTGCAGAGTGTGTGCAGAAGACATGTAGGTGGACAAAAAGTGTTCTTCCATCTTGTGGACATGAGCATGCTGAACCGTTTCAACATGTACCTTGTGAGAACTGGACGTAAGCCCACTTTCCGTGACTGTATTTGATGCTGCAATACAGTTATTAGGAAAGTTTGCAAAAAGATGTCCCAGGGATTCAGCGGCCCATCATAAACCCACTGTTGTAGCATGCTGGTACTCCAAGCCTCGCTCACACTGAAGGCTTCCTAGCACACAGACTCAAGTATTTGCCACCAGCTGGGAAGCGTGCAATAGCCCAACGTGATTGCTTTGTGTGTAAAACGACGACACGTAGAGACCAGAAACGGAAGCTTGTCCAAACATGGTGTGAAACGTGTGGTATCCCATTATGTGCTGTCGACTGCTTCAATGACTACCACAGTCTAGAAAACTTCTGAGTGTGCTTCAAAGTGTGTATAGCATGTGCGAGTGTGCAAGTATGTAAACATATAAGCAGAACATACAATATAATAGACTGTAATGACATATTATATTGCCGTAATTGAAAACATATGTGTGCGCCTGTGTATACTCAAATATGCAAATATTATTGATACAAAATATGTTCAAACATTATTTGAAACACAATTAGTGAAAAAAATTGGATAAAATGCGCCTAGACATTGTAAATAAATAGCGCGAAAATATATTTGTGGCAACTGGCTGTTTGAGGACCGCGTACAACGCCTCCAGGGCGTGTACTGCATGAGCGAACATGCAGATTCTGACGTCATTACCGAGCTTTCCAGCTCTATTGCAACAAAAGTACAATAGAATTTTTTTTTTATTTTTCCCGTGATCAGTGAACAGAACTTAACAGATAAGCAAAAAAAAAAAAAAAAAATTTTTTTTTTGTTTTTCAAAATGGCATGCGCCTGTGGGAATGGCAGGATATTAGACCCCGAGCATGATAAGGGTTAAAGTTAGGCACTTTACAGTAGTACAAAGGATTATGGAAACTTCTATAGGAAGCTGCCAAATAAAAGAGCGCAAGCATTTGGATGCTACAAAGCATCACATATGGGGAAGGGGGACAACAAATTTAAACTAGAACTTGGCAAAAGAGAAAACACATACAGTATATATAAATATTGTGCATTTTTTTTATTAAGATTAACTGCATTGCATAAAAATCTGATAAAAGACCAGTTACATATATCTATTCCCAATTTCTACAAAATTTTAATAATTTCATCTTGGGCAAATTTTACTAACAGCTGGCTTCCTTACTTTAACACATGTTAGTATACATAGACAAATCGAGATACATTAATTGCATAATACGAGTGTTGAAATTTGCATATATGTATCAGAGCATATTAAAAAATGAGTGCTCTACTCAAGTCACTCACACCAATGAAACCCCCATTACAATACTTCCACTGCAACAGTGATACACATGATATGCCACAAGCTCATTGTCTATGCTGCATGTTGCTGTCAAGCGAGTGCATCAATGTCGAGGCATTGTCTCCCGAGAAGCCTCACCAGACTAACTACTCGATACTACAAATGTTACAAATGTAAACTCACTTTCCTGCTCACTTTACTCTATGTTCTCTTGAACTCCATTTTGGATACATTATGAAAAAAAAATCAAGACTACTTTGTTAAACAAATCATGCCTAGATTACAGCAACAGAAACATGTACAAAATTATACACATTATACCTGCATATTTATATAAAATCTGAGCAAAATAAACTTTCTTATCGATACATAGTAATGTAAGAGACTAAAGACACTTTCATTCAATAGTATTAAAATAAAATAGTTACACGAGATGTACATCATTAGTCAACGTCTCAAATACATAGAAACATGCTACCAAGCTAATTTTATAACATGCAGACAAGTTGAAACATACAAAATACATAATTTTACATTGAGAACTATATCACATGACCTATGCACTGACACTTTCTTTAGACATACTCATACATAAAAGGCATTTAGTACGGCATTTTAAAATGGCCCGGCATCACTGCGATCTTCAATGCCCCGGGATTTCCATCTTCAGAAGTCACCCTGCTCTTAAAATAGCATATGTCAAGAGACCTGCAAAACAAATATGAAGTGAATTTAAAAATGGTTTGAATTAGCAAAAGAAAAAATCTAAATTGGCATCAAAACAAAAATAATATAATAATAATAATAATAATAATAATAATTTTTATTTAGGTAAGGTACATACATAGAGATTTTACAAAGTTTGTTGGCTTTATAGATAGAGCTAGTACATACAATGCCTAAAGCCACTATTACGCAAAGCGTTTCGGGCAGATTATTTATTGCTGTAAATAATTTCCACACTAAGGAAACAGTCATATAAACCATGTCTTACCTAGTACATATGCTAATACAATTTTGATGTTAGAGTTCAGGTGCAAGCAAGAAGGAATTCTCGAATCAGCCGAGTCACCCTCAGTGGGCACCAGTAACCCACAAAGGCAAATGGTAGCAGCAGCAACTAACACCAGGCTTGGACCAGCATTCCCTGAAATATGTTTGGTATAAATCACTAAACTAATTTTACTTAAATTTTTATTGTTTAAAATTAGAATTTGGGTAAGAAACCCAACTAACTCTGGTTATTCTGCACTCTTCTAGTTTATAAAAAAAATATACAAATATTCCTCAAGAATGAACAGACAAATTATTATATACAGTGGTACCTCAGTTTTCAAATTTTATCCGTTCCCAGAGACAATTCAAAAAACGAATATTCAAAATTTTAGACCAATTTTCTAACTATTCAGACTAATTTTCCCACAAGAAAAAAATTGAAATTAATTTTTGAATATTAATTTCAAAATTGAATTAATATTTTTAGGGGTGTGGAATGGATTAACAAAATTTTTTTTATACAGAATAATACTCATAGGCACCTTACCTTTATTGAGGACTTGTTGGCGCATGAAAAAGCGAGGAAGGGGGGGGGGGGGAAGAGGTGTTAAGTGTTTGCAAGGCAAGTCCCCTTCCACTGTAATAGCAGTAATGACATTTCTGGTGTACTCCCTTACATTTTGCAGGCATACCACTAGGAACCTGGTTGAAGCTCACTGCTTGCTTGTCTTCCTAAGAAGCTGTCTATAGACACTTTTTTCCCCCTTACGTTTTAAGACTTTCCTGTAGTGAGACATCACATTGTCTCACTTTGAATGATCTCTTGTTTTTCCTCCACCACAACTATTTTCTTAGGTTGAACTTTACCACCGACTTACTCTGAACCCATGGCGTGATATAAAAACTTTTATGTTCAGAAACAAAAAACAGCATTGAATGTAATGAAACGCCATTTTCTGGGCGAGACCCGGAGGCTCCCCAGAGCTATACTGAGCTGATGTGCATATATTAGACCATGGCAAGTCAATCTATGGAGTTCTAGGCCTACAGGGGACCAGAGCCAGAACCTGACCCCCCCTCAAGAAGAGGCACAAGGAGCAATGGCCTAAAGACACCCCCGTGTAATTGGAAGCAGTGTCTGCCATCTACCAGGTCAGGCACCCAGAAAGGTAGGAATTCCAAAAGAAACTACTGCTGGTCAAAATTTGCAAACCAAAAGCCGAACTAGCAAACAAAGCTCTCCAATCATAAACAAGGAAACAAACATGACGTCACCACAACCACCACGCATCCGTCTGCACAACCCCTATCCCTGGGGTGGGGGACAGGGGGGGGGGGTCCCCAGACCTCCATGCCTGCAACTTCTCAGTTCAGATGCAGAGTATATATATATAAAAAAAAAAAACTGATCGGGAGGGGAGGGAGGGATGCCGGGGAGACTCCGAGTCTCACCCGGAAAATAGAGTTTCATTACATTCAACGCTGGTTTTCTGTGGAGCCCCCCCTTCAGCTCCCGGAGCTACCTAACCAAAGAAAGAAAAGGGTCTTACTTGTAGGCACATGGCGGTCGTCACTCGCTCCTCAACTTTAAGTCGAGACAACTTGCTGCAACCTGCAACCCAAGGCTACACACGCCCAAGAAGGACCAGGAACATCAACGAGGTACCGTGCGGCTACGACCCTGTTTGACCTCAAAAAGCCCAGTACCCAAATGTCAGCCCAGGACATACTACCAAAAAAAAAGCAGCCAAAGCCGCGAACTTACGAACGTCGTGGCCACAGGGATAGACCACAAGCTGGCTGAACCGAATAATCCTGCTGAAGACCTGGAAGACCCACGCCCTGGAACAAGAAAGAAGGGAAACCGGGTCTACCCAAAGCGCGTCCCCTGCCATGGAGATCGTGGGGTGCAAATAATGGCGAAGTCGCAACCTGACAAAACACTATGCACCCCTGGCCGAACCAACCAAGCATCAACAACCCAATGACCCCTTTGGAAAGCAGCACTCATTTTTTGCCAGAAAAGGAGGAGACGGCTGCAAATGAACGAAACAATCACCAGGACCGAAAGAGAAGAAACCCTAATGCCGGAGGAGAGCATGAAGCTCTCCCGACCCGACCCCCAGAGGCCAATACCCACAAGAAAAGAACCTTAGAAAAACAGTCCTGAATCGAGGGGGCCACCACAAACCGAGGAGAAGAGAGCACCCGGTCTAATGACCAGGACGGCTCGGGCAGCGCACGAGCAGGCTGGAAGTGAAGCGACGACCGAGATAGCTTGCGGAACAGAGCAGAAGTAAATATAATCTGCCCCAAATGCAAGTTGCAGCAGCTCCGCCAACACCACACAATACGAGGCGACAGTATTTGGCACAAGACGACTGTCCTGAAACAACCAAAAGAATAACAAAACAACCCGATCAGAAATCGAAGACAACCTTCGACGAGACAAAGTGCTGAAAAGTGCTCAAAAAGTGCCAGGAAATTTCATACTGCCATTGAGACGGAACTTGCAGGTGGGACTCCAACAAAGCCACCTGATCACCATAGAAGTGTTTATAAACCCGCGTCAAAAAGACCAAATGCGAAGATTGGAGAAGACCGAACCAGCCATGTACTGGACCGGACTGATCTGTTGAAAGAGAGAGAGTCACAGGAAGACCCTCTGGTTCGGACTTGACAAGCGAGCCAAAACTAAGCGACAACCAAACCGGTGATACAGGTACAGTTAACCCCACCTCGACCACTTCAGCCGAAAGGCAAATGACCCCGACGGCCTCGCATACTGGGAAGGGCGCTACATACACTGGAAGACGCCTTGACCAAGCCGATGTGAAGAGGTCCACCTCCGGGAACCGTAGGTTTGGCAGAGCCAACTGAACAAGTCGGCCATCCATTCCATGGATAGGGGAATGAACCAAGACAGGCCGTCCACCAGGACGTTTGACACCCCTCCCCCTGTACATGAACCTCCAGGAGAGCCTAACCCCAAGAACTCGGCAGACGAGTCGCCCTAAAGAGCCAAGGACCGCATCGAACCCCCGTGGTTCAGACAATGAACCACAGGGGAGCCGTCTGAATGGAGCCAGATTGCTCTGCGAGCAATATGAACCCTCCGAAGCGAATGAGACACTACCGCAAACTCCCACACCATGCTGTAAACCCGACGGAAGGACGGACCCCACCAACCCTGGCCGGCCTGGTGAGCACTGGTCACAAAACTCCAGCCGCGAGACAAGGCATCTGAACACATCGAGCAAGGGCTCGAGGAGGCATCACGGCACAGAATCCCGAAAAATCCACAGAGGAAGCTGGCGATGCAGCAGCCAAGGCAAGGCTCCTGGGATCCGAGCCCAGTGATTGCAAGAGCAGCGAAGGAGACTTACCCGAAGAAACCTGAACAGCCGCATAAGCCAGATCCGACCCGACGGGTAGTCCAGCACGGCAAAGTTCAGGCTCCCACACAAACGCTCTACCAACTGACGTGTGATCTGGGTGCCCTCCAAAAACAGTCTTAAGCGGGACTGCAGCCACAACAACGGAGCAGGAGGGAGAGACTAGGAAGTGGTTCGAGAATCCCACACAAGACCCAACCAAGTCTGAACCTGAGAGGGAACTAAATGGAACTTCCTCCAGTTCACCAAGAACACACACCCAGCGAGCTGGGAAAGAGCCAAATTCCTGGCAACCACACACACACAGTTCTTGCACCAGTGATGTTTATTGTTTATATGAACATGTTTGCTGATGATGCCAAGATAATAGGAAGGATAAGAAACTTGGATGATTGTCATGCCCTTCAAGATGACCTGGACAAAATAAGTATATGGAGCACCACTTGGCAAATGGAATTTAATGTTAATAAATGCCATGTTATGGAATGTGGAATAGGAGAACATAGACCTCACACAACCTATATATTATGTGAGAAATCTTTAAAAAATTCTGATAAAGAAAGATCTAGGGGTGGTTCTAGATAGAAAACTATCACCCGAGGACTACAAAGAATATTGTGCGAGGAGCCTATGCCACGCTTTCTAACATCAGAATTTTTTAAATACATGGATGGCGATATACTAAAGAAATTGTTCACGACTTTTGTTAGGCCAAAGCTAGAATATGCAGCGGTTGTGTGGTGCCCATATCTTAAGAAGCACATAAACAAACTGGAAAAGGTGCAAAGACATGCTACTAAGTGGCTCCCAGTACTGAAGGGCAAGAGCTACGAGGAGAGGTTAAAGGCATTAAATATGCCAAAACTAGAAGACAGAAGAAAAAGAGGCGATATGATCACTACATACAAAATAGTAACAGGAATTGATAAAATTGATAGGGAAGATTTCCTAGAGACCTGGAACTTTAAGAACAAGAGGGTCATAGATTTAAACTAGCTAAACACAGATGCCGAAGAAATATAAGAAAATTCACTTTTGCAAACAGTGGTAGACGATTGGAACAAGTTAGGTGAGAAGGTGGTGGAGGCCAAAACTGTCAGTTTCAAAGCATTATATGACAGAGTGCTGGGAAGACGGGACACCACGAGCGTAGCTCTCATCCTGTAACTACACATAGGTAATTACACCTCACAATCAGCCTGGATAGCTCCGAGGAGCCAATGGGGCTTCCCCCAGAAAATAGCATGACAACTTAGAAGACAAGAGTTTTAGTTTAGATGGACTGCATGAACCAAGTGAGTCAACATGTAAAGCTGAATGTGCCCATCAAAGATGAGATCCTGGCTGCTAGGCAAGTGAATGAGGGTAGATGGCAGGTTAGGACTCTAGGTGACCTTGGCAGCTATCTGGTGGCAGTCAGGCTTTACAACTGGGGTTTTTACTCTGCAGAAATGACTTATTTTCCTCTGATTAATATTTTTCTTTCAGATAGATTATCTCCAATCCCCAAGCTCGTCTCATCTTGCAGGGAGCCCGATTCTGGTCCTCGCTCCTGGTAGGTTCAAGTGGGTCTTTGATTCCTAGCACAGTTCCTTAAGGCTTGGCAGCCTCAGTGCTATAGCTCAGAGCTACTGAGGAAGTCCCTTTCAGAAAATCTATGTACACACAAGAGTACTGTTCTGGAATTTAATATACCATATAAACGATACCTTGATGGTGCGGTGGGAGAAAAATTCTGTCTGTAGCTCCTTCCCCCACACCAGAGCGTGTGGGAGCATGGACGGACACGAACTGGTCACTATCAGTCCCACTACGTGGCTCTGGCACATCACTCAGCAACACAGCTGGGACATCCTTCTTTCCCAGTACCTAGAAAAAGCAATTCAATTTTGAAAACTGGTAGCCCTTGTCATTAGTTCTATAGCATTTGATTAGAAGTTTCTACAAGAGAATGAATATGCTTAAGTGAAAACAACTAATATGGAGTGTAATTTGGCTACTGCTAGGCACCGAAGACAAGTTTCCAGTACATGCAGTATTTAAGTAATGATAAAACAGAAAGAGATAATTTTAAAAATTAATTGAATTGAATTTCCCATTGTTGGCGAGAGGAAGGTTGTTAGGCTTACCAATGTATTCCTAGCCAATAACAGACATCCCTCTGGATACAACTAACAGTCTACCGATTGTCCGATACGTGTTTACAGCAACACGAACAGAAAAATTGAATACTTCTGCTTCCATAGCTGCTTCTGCTCTGCTTCCATAGCTGCTTCTGCTCTGCTTCCATAGCACTTAAGGCCATGGCAGACAACCAGAACAGTGTTCTGCTTGTCTTCCACATCATGGTGATCTAGCAATTGTGAGAGGCAAGAGTGCCCACTTCTGAATAAATGTCTGGGGGGTTATGTAGATGTTGAATTCCATGCGATTTGTAATCTTACTTCTTGCACTTTCAAAGAATTTTATGACGTGTGAAGTTAGAGCTTTTGGTCTATACCTTTTTGCATTCGGTTTACTTCCTCCTTTATGAAGTGGCATGATCTCCACCGTTTTAATCACGTCCGAGATAACACCAGAATCTAGGCTCTGTCTCTAAAAGGTGTTTGGGGCCCAAGATACAGGTAGTATTGTTTTGCAATTTTCAATGAATATAGAATTACAGGAGACTGGGCCTAGTGCTACAGCTACTACAAAGTCCAGTGGGGGTTAGGATGACATCTGATGTATGGTTTGATGTTGGAGTCTGTCACACAATTTCCCTTCACGAGTAGGGTAACGTCATTACTCCAGCCTTCAGCAATTACATATACGTTACCATTTAATAAGTTTTAACAAGTTTTGTCAATTCCTTGAAGTAAATCCTAATGACAGAAGTAACATGTGAAGTTACTAACCAAGATGTAAGACTGCTCTGCAGTCTTGCCAAGCGCTAGTTAATCTAACACTTACAACAGATAAGCTTCCAGCATTGAGAAACATGCCGTCACCGTCTAGATGTCTGGGTTTCCGATATAAATAGTGGCGTCCAGGTAATGATCTTTAATCTTGCTCAGGTGCTCCGGGGTGGAACACTTCAACTCTTATATGAAAAATTATGACAGGTCATTTTGGTGTTAAGTAACTTATCTTAGTCATCGACTGTATTTAGCTTTTTTAAATCTTTTGTCAAAGAGTTTTATGTTGTCCTAAAGAATTAACACAAAAATAAACAAAGTATGCAACCAAGATGTATTTCAAATGTTAAAAGTAATTTTGTTTTATTACATTAATTTCTATTTTTCCTAGTGGTTTTTCCAACTTCAATTCTTGATCCTCATGATCACATCACAAAGGCCATGTGGCTTTTTGTTTATGTCATGTCTAAGCATACCATCTGCTGGGTATAACTGCAGTACCGTGTCCCACAACATGTCTTGTTAAGAATTCATTTAGATCATTGATCTTCAACGTGTTTAGGTGGTTCACTGAAAAGAGAATTGTACCAAAGCCTCAGTATTTCACTCATTTCTTTGTTGTCATCTGTGAAAGTTCCATCACCCTTGTGCAATGGCCCAATGCTGGATGTGGTTTTTGTTCTAGTTTTTACATAGGATAAAAGCATGTTGGATTCCTCTCTCTCGCTTTTACTCTGCCTCTCCTAGATTTTATAAGATTCCTGTAGCTTTAAGTATTCGCGACAGTAATCGGCATAAGATGCCGGTCCAGGAAAAGCAAAGAAAGAAAAGACAAGACAACCCTAACCGACACCGACGAAACCCTACGAAGAGAAAGGAAATGGTGGAAAGACTACCAAGAAACTTCATACTGCCACCGAGAAGAAAACTGCAGGTGGGACACCATGAAGGAAGCCACCGGAACGCCATAAAAAAAGTGGCGATACACCCACGCCAGAAAAACAGACGCGAACAGTGGAAGAGCAAGTCTAACCAGCGAGGTACCTCACCAGCTCGTCCCGCCGAAAGAGGTAGAGCCACGGAAAAAAACACCCGGGTTCGGACACCAAGCAAGCAGCACCTGAAACCAAGGCTGGGCCAGTCACCATGGAGCCAGGAGAATCACCCTCCCCTGATAGGATTCAAGCTAAGCCAGAACCCGGAGCAGCAGCTGGACCGGGGAGGGAGAGGTACACGAACCTCCCTCCCACCCACCTCAACTTGTCCTGTTGAAAGGCGTCTACCGGGAGAGCCTTGCAGTCAGGGAACGGCACCATGTACAACGAGAGAGACCATGCCGACACGAAGAGCTCCACCTCCAGGTACCCATATGTCTAGCAAAGCCAAAGGAAGTAGGTGGAATCGACCATCCACTCCATGGAAAGAGGAATGAAGCAAAACAGGCCGTCTGCCAGGACTTTGGACATACTCCGAATGTAAATACCGCACAGAGCTAAACCCCAAGAACTCGACAGAAGAACTACCCAAAGTGACCAGCCCCAAAGAACCATGGACTGAAAAGACCCTTCTTCCCCCCACCCCCCACCCCTCAGTCGAGACAAAGAACCATGGGGAAGCAGTTCAAATGGAGCCAGACCACAGAGCCCCGAGGAAGCCGAATCTGTTACAGTGCCTGCCACACTGCTGCACGCTCCCGCACTGCCGTGTGAGCCCGACATAATGGATAGCCCCCAATGCACCAGACCTGACTGGTCACAAAGCCCCAACTGAGAGACAAGGCATCCCTGAACATACCGAGAGAGAAGAGATAGGCGCCATGTTAACGAACCCCGAAAAAAGAAAATGAAGAGGAAGCCAGTGACGTAGCAACCAGCCCAAGGACTCCAAGGAATGAACCTAGTGACCACAAGCGTGGCAAAAGAGGCTGCTCCAAAGATACCAGAACAACCTCCGAAGCCAAACCCTACCCAGAGGATAAACCAACTGCACAGCTGCTCGAGCAATATCAGAGTGACCTGGGTCCGCCTCAAAAATAGCTGAAGGCGGGACTGCAACCAGAGCAGAGCTGCAGAAGAGAAATTCTCGCAGTCCAAGAATCCCACACTAGGCCCAACAAAGTCCAAACCTGGGATGGAACCAACCGAGACTGCCTCCAATTTGCCAGGAACCCGAATCCAATGAGCTGGGGAAACAGATCCCTGGCTAGCAGACTAGTAGACCTGCTGGGAGCCCACACCAACCCATTGTCGAGGTAGGCCAAAACCACATCAGCATATCCCCCCCCCCATTGCCCCGTCAATGCTGCAAACCCCGAGAAGCCAACCAGCCACAGAGCGAATACCATGTCGACCAGATGACGAAAGCCCTGGGAAACCCACTGATGCAGAAACTGGCACCAAAGGCCTACCCAGACCAAACATAACCCAATCAAGAAGTCCTGGAATGACATCCCATCCCCTCAGGGGGGGGGGGGGATTGGACAAAGGGAAGGACGGTACAAAAAACCCCTCCCGAATCAGGGGTGACGAACAACCTTCAACTTCACAGAAGGCGAGAATGGACTCTCAAAGAAGTATCCATGGTACCAGAGCCCACAGTGGTTTTCCAGGGCCCATAGAGTGAATAAGCCTTACAGGAATCCCAGGTGCTGGGGCCTGGCAAGTCTGAAGAATCCTATCAGATAGCTCGCAAACTGACTACCAGTAGCAGCTGTGAAACCTTGGGGACAGGAGGACCACCAAAAGGACCTAGGCTAGCCTAATAAGAAGCTAGACAGACCACCTCCATCCACAAAAATCAAGTGCCAGCAAGAAAAACCAAAATGTCCCTAAATGCACACTACAAATGGCCAGAGATAAACCTCTACTGCAGTGTTTAAGTAAAGCCAGCTGTGCCAGCTGGTGTGCCCCTCCCAGCCAATAACACCCCTACCTGGGGCAAAACAGATAGCCCAAGACCCCCGATGTACCCCCAAGAGCGAAGACAACCTGAAGAAATGAGGACCACACACAACTAGAACAGCCACACAGGGCAAAATCCATAACAGGAACTTGAGGCCAGGAGACTAATTCAACCGCCACACTGGACCGGCTACCTCCACTTCCGGGGGGGGGGGGGGGTGGAAGGGGTAGTGCCAACGAGCAGGAGCATTAGTTGGATGAAGTGTTGCTTGTTTGTTTTCTTTCTGGTGGAGTTCTTTTGCTCTTGTCAGACGTAGGTTGCAATTTTCAGATTGTGATCCATTGTATTTCGCCTATCTTTCTGGATGCCTTCCCCAGTCGATAGCAATTATGATGTACTATAAATGTAAAGTGTTTATAGGCCATTGCTCCCTGTGCGCCTCCGAGGGGGGCCAGGCTCTGGCTCGTGGTCCTCGGGAGGTAAAAGAACTTGTGACCGATGAACCCAAACTAATGTAGTATTACTGTATATCAGTTCGGAGAGCTTCAGGGACTCTCCGACGGAAAACAGGAAAGCAAAGTGTCATTACACTTTGCATCATAACATAACCTGTCATAATATTTTGTAATTAAAACTTATTAGATTTAAATATCAAGATAATACAGCACTGTACTGTATAGAGAACAAGCATCTTTAACATACCTTTTTCTTTCCATCTTCACATATTTGTATGCGAATTTTATCCCTCAGACTCGCCTCACTTAATGAGAGATTTGTTCGCGTTATAATGATGTCCAATGAACATTTTGAACGAACAATGCCCTTCGGACTATCCACGTTGAAACAGGATGGGTTATTACACAGGACTGAAAATAATTGAATATTAAGTCATTAAGCTTATGAGTCATTTTATTAATACTAATTAGATGTCACTTCAAGAAGAATGTAATGAAATATTTCAATACCATATACAAATGTCTCAAATGATTCTTAATGAACTTTCCATAAAAAAAAACTTTACTCAATAATGACCTATTTCTTTGTAAAGTACCTAAAAGGAATCCAAGAGGGCATAACAAGAATAGAAGTCAATCTGGAAGTGAAGACATCCTATACATATGACTGTACGAGGGAAAACGAGAGTAGGCCCCCCCCCCACCATGAAAAATAATAGAAAATAAATAGAAAATATAGAAAAATGAGGGCAGTAAGCAGAGGCAATGTATCGGACTGGAGGAATGTCACAAGTGGAGTACCACAGGACTCGGTTCTTGCACCAGTGATGTTTATTGTCTACATAAATGATCTACCAGTTGGTATACAGAATTATATGAACATGTTTGCTGATGATGCCAAGATAATAGGAAGGATAAGAAACTTAGATGATTGTCATGCCCTTCAAGATGACCTGGACAAAAATAAGTATATGGAGCACCACTTGGCAAATGGAATTTAATGTTAATAAATGCCATCTTATGGAATGTGGAATAGGAGAACACAGACCCCACACAACCTATATATTAAGCGAGAAATCGTTGAAGAATTCTGAGAGAGAGATCTAGGGGTCGTTCTAGGTAGACAACTATCGCCTGAAGACCACAAAGAACGTTGTGCGAGGAGCCTATGCCACGCTTGCTAACTTCAGATTTGCTTTTAAATACATGGATGGCGATATACTAAAGAAATTATTCACGACTTATTCTAGCTTCGGCCTAACATGCAGCAGTTGTGTGGTGCCCATATCTTAAGAAGCACAAACTGGAAAAGGTACAAAGACATGCTACTAAGTGGCTCCCAGAACTGAAGGGCAAGAGCTACGTGGAGAGGTTAGAGGCATTAAATATGCCAAAACTAGAAGAGAAGATAAAATAGTATACGTATAAAACGTACAAAATAGTAACAGGAATTGATAAAATCAATAGGAAGATTTCCCCCAAGACCTGGAACTTCAAGAACAAGAGGTCATAGGTTTAAACTAGCTAAACACAGATGCCAAAGATATACAAGAAAATTCACTTTCACAAACAGTGGTAAACGGTTGGAACAAGTTAGGTGAGGTGAGGTGGTGGTGGAGGCCAAGACCGTCAGTAGTTTCAGAGTTATATGACAGAGTGCTGGGAAGACGGGATACCACGAGCGTCGCTCTCATCCTGTAACTACACTTGGGTAATTACCTGTTGATTGACAGTCGAGAGGCGGGACCAAAGAGCTAGAGCTCAACCACTGCAAGCACACATAGGCGAGCGCGCACACACACACACACACACACGCGCGCAAACACACACACCTTGCAATAAGGAAGACGAAGGTAGATTCTTTCAGTGCATTTCCCTTTATGACCACCCACACAGCACCATTTCCTTTCATTTCATTGACTCATTTGTGTTTCTGTTCCCAGCTTCCACCCATGTCCTCTTATAACAATTTATCTCAGTTTAACAAGAATTTAACACTTTACCTGGCTGATAACTCTTAATGCGTCCTTATATTAATACAGTATATAGTACTCGGTTTGGCTGAGGACGCATGCTGCATTCTAAGTTAAAATTTGTTAAAAATCCATTTTTTTTTGCTATTATTATGGGACCGAGTGTGCCAACGGCTCACTTTACATTTCCAAGAAACGTAGGTCTATGATGTAGGTACGAATCCTCGTCATGACCCTTGTAGATTTGTTCACTATGCTAATTTATAAAATATTATTCATCTAAATATGGTAGACATTTTAATTATTTTTCAAGGAGTATAAATAATAATCCATCCAACTGTGCCAGAACACTCACCTGTATACGAGATGCAAAACTCATAAGGGTTATACAAGGTCACAATTTGCTTGTGACTAGTATGATCAGCAACGTAAAAGGTAAGCGATGGGGGAAAGACGAACACTGGGACTCTGCCATCCAGCCCACTTGGTTGCATCACCACATTACCTGAGCAAAGAATAAATAGTATACATGTTAGCATTATGTTAAGTAATGTCTAAAATAAAGCAATAAACTATTTCCAACCAACAGATGGCTCACTGGGCGATGGCCTAAACTTTGAGTGGGGAGTCCGTATAAACAACTGGGCGATGGCCTAAACTTTGAGTGGGGAGTCCGTATAAACAACTGGGCGATGGCCTAAACTTTGAGTGGGGAGTCCGTATAAACAACTGGGCGATGGCCTAAACTTTGAGTGGGGAGTCCGTATAAACAACTGGGCGATGGCCTATACTTTGAGTGGGGAGTCCGTATAAACAACTGGGCCTCTACCCTTCAGACCGAACTATTTGCCTTTCTACTTGCACCGAAATGTGTACAAGTCGCCAAACTTGATACATTAATTGTAAGTGACTCCTTATCATCCTTAAATGCTCTCTACTCATAACTGTGACATGCTCGTGTCCGAAGCTAGATACAAATACAACAAAATTATTAAGGATGGTAACAGAGACCACATGAAATGGACTCTATCTGATGTTGGCCTCCGAATGCATGACAGAGCTGATAAGTTAGCCAAAGAATCTGCCTTTAAAGGAGCTGTTGAGTCTAACTTTGGATTGTCAATGAGCAATCTGAAAGCAGCAGTACACCGAGAACTTCAACAAGATCTTGTAGATCCGAGGCAAAGTGAAATTGACACCAGTAACTCCATCTATCATCATATTATCATGCAGGAGGAGCCACATATCTATGGATCATCCAATAATATCAGCAGACTTCTAGATGTTACTACTGCTCGGCTTAGACTCTGTTACAAGTATCTGGGAATTTTCATTATCTGCCGATGTAGACCTGACCAAATGTAAACTGTCAACAAAATTATTCGCACACCCTCCGTCACTATGTGATGGAGTGCGAAAAGATACGTGAATTTAGAGACAATTCTATAACCAATGTTCCAACAATGTGTAAATATTTCATTCAAAATGATCTACCAGAAATTTTAGCCAAATATCCCCAGTTTACTAACTGTTGGAAGTAACCAAGTGATTGTAACCTATCCACCGCTGCCCACTGGATGGGGGGCGGTGTGCAGGACAAACACATCAATTGTGACACTAGCTCTCCACATATGTCAGTTGCTTAATTTAGAAACTGTACTTGTGGTCGATCTTGAACCCATTGTTGATACGACGACTTGTACTGAATTTTGTAACTAGCTCATCAAGATTGTAGCTTGCTTAGCTAAATGAATTGTGGGGTTCAGTCCCTGAGCCCATTATGTGCCTCTGTAACCCTTTCCACTACCGCCCACAAGATGGGTATGGGGTGCATAATAAATGAACTAAACTTACATACTCTACAGTGAAATAAAACTAATAGGTCAATGGAAATGTTTACAGTATGTTAACTATACAGTACTAGGTGAAGTATGTGAAGTGGAGCACTTGCACAGTTGTGTTTGTGGAGAACAAGCAATTATGCTCAGGAGAATGAGTGTGCATGCATAGGCCTAGGCCACATTACACAGTAACGTGGGCTACATTACTAAGGCCTATGTCCATAGAAGAAAAGTGAGGGACTCTGGATTTTTTTCCAAGATGGGGGATGGTTATTGGAGGCCTGAGGAAGCTCAAGTGTGACCCCTTGTATGCACGGGAGTTTCGAATCGTATGATATAGAGTACTATCATCATCCCACGTCAGCTGGCACACCAACACCCCATGTGTCGGCTGATGCACTGCAGGGATTAAACACGTCATGACCCTCAAGCCAGCAGGGTCTATGGCCCCCATACTACACCACACCACCTGTGGGCCCCCCCCCCCACACACACACCACATGTGCCCCCCCCCCATACCTCATCACTGACCCCCCCCCCACACACCACACCACCTGTGGCCCCCCCCACAAACCACACCACCTGTGGCCCCCCCCCCCACACACACCACCTGTGGCCCCCCCCCCACACACACACACCACCTGTGGCCCTCCCCTCATACCACACCATCTGTGAGCCCCCCCATACCACACCACCTGCGAGCCCCCCCCCAATACTACACCACACCACCTGTGGGCCCCATACTACACCACCTGTGTAGTATGGGGCCCACAGGTGGTGTGGGCCACACAAACTACCCCATACACACAGCAAGTCTGCCCCACACGGTGGAGGCCAAACACACCTCAGGAGTGTACAGGAGAGGCAAGACAGGAGCAGTGACAGGAGTACACACGATCACAACAAAGGCTTGTTTGTGAAGAACAGCTGGGCGGTGACGTCACTGACTGCTCATCCACTACGCCACAGCCAAGGGGCGCCACTTATAAACCAAGACTTCAACCCTCTGCACTTGCTATTACACTTTCTAACGTATTTACATATAAATTATAACCGAATACATAAATTAAATTAAATCAATCGTTACTTGGGTAGCTAACGTAGGTTTGTTATTTTTGATTATTCATGCAAGTACATGAGAATGGTGCAATAATTGCTCAAGACTGAAGAGGGTAACATGCAGATACAGGGAGCAGGTTAAGAAGCAGACACAGCAGTTACAGACGTACATAATGTCAGACAGCATGGCTGTCTATCAGCCTGTCTACCAAAGACAGCAGCTGAAGTCCAAGCTCTTATAACGCGGAAATGATGAACAAACCAGATGTCAGAAGATGAAGAAACTGCGAGGTTTCGGTCCATCCTGGACCATTATTTAGTAGTGTGTTAGGGAGAGGTTGATGAAGCCTGCACCACAAGAGGTGGCACGGGCATGAATAGCCCGTAAGTGGGAGATATTTTTGGAGTGAATGTGATCTTTGGTCGTGAAAGTACGTACGGCTTGTTGTGCTCGCATTTAAACTGTCAATTCTTACTATATGACTGCTATCGCCAGGGAGGATAGTGCTCGACAGTATTTATGAGGGTGTGTGGGAGAGAGGAAGGAACCGGCCAATAAATAGAAGTGCAAGCAAGAGAAAATGATAATTTCTAGGAGGTAAAGGTGCAAGAATAATCACAAAAGAGTTAGTGTGTAAGGAGGAACAGGTAAGAGAAGGCAATTCCTAGAAGATAGGAATAAGGTGAAAGGCAAGAATGGGACGAGCGTAAAAATGGGATGACTTAAGAATAAAGAGGGTAAGAAAAAAGGGGTAGGCTTAAAGGGCCGTGAGACCCACAAATATTCTAATTAAATGAAAATGACTTAAAATGGTATACAAATCTCCAATTATTTGGCAACGTCGTAAAAATTTCATCCCAGAATGTTACATGGATTTTACGTATATTAAAAAAAAATTCTGATTATAAAGAGAACAGCTCCTATTAACCTCCTTACCTACTGGTAAGAAATGTTAAAAAAGAGACTAGGAAAGCAGAAAGAAACTATGAAGTTCGCATAGCAGAGCAAGCAAAGTCAAATCCTAAAGGTTTTTTTCAGTTATATCGAACTAAGACTAGGGAAAGGATAGGTCCATTAAAATCTGAGACAGGTCAAATAACGGATAATGACAAGGAGATGAGTAGTATTTTTAACAAATATTTTATATCTGTATTTGCTAAAGAAGAACTTAACAATATGCCTTCAGCCGAACAAGTCTATGTGGGTGGGGATGAGGACAGGTTGACTAGTTTAGCAGTTACCAGGGAGGATGTAATTAAACAATTAGAAAAACTAAAACCAAACAAATCCCCAGGGCCGGATGAAGTGTTTGCCAGGGTGCTTAAAGAATGCAAAGGGGAGCTTTCCGAGCCACTGTCTACCATATTTAATAAATCAATAGAGTCAAGCAGAGTGCCAGAGTCTTGGAAGGTAGCTAATGTGGTACCAATTTTTAAGAAAGGAGATAGATCACTTGCGTCAAACTATCGGCCAATTAGCCTAACGTCTATTGTGGGAAAGTTACTTGAATCAATAATTGCAAATACAATTCGTCTTCATCTTGAAAAACATAAATTAATCAATGAGTCGCAACATGGTTTTACAAATGGCCGTTCATGTTTAACAAATTTGCTAACTTTTTATTCCAGCATAGTTGAGGCAGTTGATAGTGGTAAGGATTGTGATGTTGTGTACCTTGACTTTAGCAAAGCTTTTGATACAGTGCCACATGAAAGACTAAAAAAATAGAAGCTTATGGTATTGGGGGTGCTATATTAACTTGGATTAGGGCATGGCTATTCCAAAGGAAACAGTTAGTATAAATGGGGTTAAGTCAGAGTGGGATAATGTTAGTGGAGTACCTCAGGGCTCTGTCCTGGGACCTCTGTTGTTTATAATATATATATAAATGATTTAGATTCAGGTTTGAGTAGCAACATTTGCAAATTTGCCGATGATACGAAAATCGGTAGGGAAATTAATTCGGAGGAGGACTCGCTATCACTTCAAGTTGATCTAGATAGGGTTTTGAAAATGGTCAAATGATTGGCAAATGCAGTTTAATGCTGATAAATGTAAAGTTCTGAGGCTAGGTAATGATGATAGTTACAAGATACGAGCTAGATGGTGTTGAGATTGCAAAGTCGGATTGCGAAAGGGATCAGAGTTATGATTAGTAAGAATTTAAAACAAAAGGATCAATGCATGAATGTTCGTAATAAGGCGAATAGGACACTGGGATTTATTAATCGAAGCGTTAGTAACAAGACACCTGGTGTGGTTCTTAAGCTATATCTTGCTCTGGTTAGGCCCCATTTAGATTATGCAGTTCAGTTTTGGTCGCCGTATTATAGAATGGATATAAATTCACTTGAACGTGTCCAACGTAGGATGACTAAGTTAATTCCCTAAATTAGAAATCTTTCATATGAAGAAAGATTAACAAAGCTTAAGTTGCATTCACTGGAAAGGCGAAGAGTTAGGGGTGACATGATAAGAGGTTTACAAGTGGATGAATGGACCTAACAGGGGGATATTAATAGGGTATTAAAAATATCAACACAACACGAAACAATGGGTATAAATTGGATAAGTTTAGATTTAGGAAAGACTTGGGTAAATACTGGTTCAGTAACAGGGTTGTTGATTTGTGGAACCAATTACCGCGTAACGTGGTGGAGGTGGTGTCCCTCGATTGTTTCAAGCGCGGGTTGGACAAGTATATGAATGGGATTGGGTGGTTATAGATAGGAGCTGCCTCGCCTCGAGGAGCTGCCTCGTATGGGCCAATAGGCCTTCTGCAGTTACATTTATTCTTATTTAGAATATAGGAAGCCATGGCAGGCCTAATGTGCCTATACGAGGCAGCTATTTATATACACCCAAACTCATCGGCACCCATGTGTGACCTGCGCTTGAAACACTCCAGGGATCACACACAGATCATACTAACGTGATGCATCAAATGAACAAATCCACAAGGGTCGTGACGAGGATTCGAACCTGCGTCCGGGAGCATCCCAGACACTGCCTTAATCGACTGGGCTACGACAGGGTTAAAAAGGGTTGAAACCGAAGTTCTACTGAACTTAGTGGATCCCGTAGCCTCTCCGAGGCACAAACCAGGCTTTTGCACAACCCCCCCCCTCCCTGCACCCGAGCTATGCCTTTTAAATAATATGTCTATACCAAATAATATACACATGGAAAATACTGGAGGGACAGGTCCCAAATCTACACAGTAAAATAACAACGTACTGGAGTGAACGACATGGAAGAAAATGCAGAATAGAACCAGTGAAGAGCAGAGGTGCCATCCGCACAATCAAGGAACACTGTATGAACATCAGAGGTCCGCGGTTGTTCAACGTCCTCCCAGCGACTATAAGAAATATTGCCGGAACAACCGTGGACATCTTCAAGAGAAAACTGGACGGTTTTCTAAGAGAAGTTCCGGACCAACCGGGCTGTGGTGGGTACGTGGGCCTGCGGGCCGCTCCAAGCAACAGCCTGGTGGACCAAACTCTCACAAGTCAAGTCTGGCCTCGGGCCGGGCTTGTGGAGTAGAACTCCCAGAACCCCATCAACCAGGTATCACCTGGGTAATGTTGCCCGATAAGCTGCTCCATATATCCACACTAAACTTACTCCAGAGCCAAAATGATATAAAACAAGACACTACTTACGGTGAGTTTGTCTGTGTTTGAGCATGACCCGCTGCAGGAATGGGTCGGTCCTCCGGTCCACGCTGCGCGACACATCGGTGGTGTTCCCTGACATTGTGTACATCACAGTGCTTCACAGTACGCCTCACAGTGCTTCACAGTACGCCTCACAGTGCTTCACAGTACGCCTCACAGTGCTTCACAGTACGCCTCACAGTGCTTCACAGTACGCCTCACAGTGCTTCACAGTACGCCTCACAGTGCTTCACAGTACGCCTCACAGTGCTTCACAGTACGCCTCACAGTGCTTCACAGTACGCCTCACAGTGCTTCACAGTGCTTCACAGTACGCCTCACAGTGCTTCACAGTACGCCTCACAGTGCTTCACAGTACGCCTCACAGTGCTTCACAGTACGCCTCACAGTGCTTCACAGTACGCCTCACAGTGCTTCACAGTACGCCTCACAGTGCTTCACAGTACGCCTCACAGTGCTTCGGTACGCCTCACAGTGCTTCACAGTACGCCTCACAGTGCTTCGGTACGCCTCACAGTGCTTCAGTACGCCTCACAGTGCTTCACAGTACGCCTCTCAGTGCTACACAGTACGCCTCACAGTGCTTCACAGTACGCCTCACAGTGCTTCGGTACGCCTCACAGTGCTTCACAGTACGCCTCACAGTGCTTCGGTACGCCTCACAGTGCTTCACAGTACGCCTCACAGTGCTTCGGTACGCCTCACAGTGCTTCACAGTTCGCCTCACAGTGCTTCGGTACGCCTCACAGTGCTTCGGTACGCCTCACAGTGCTTCAGTTCGCCTCACAGTGCTTCACAGTACGCCTCACAGTGCTTCAGTACGCCTCACAGTGCTTCAGTACGCCTCACAGTGCTTCAGTTCGCCTCACAGTGCTTCACAGTTCGCCTCACAGTGCTTCGGTACGCCTCACAGTGCTTCAGTTCGCCTCACAGTGCTTCAGTACGCCTCACAGTGCTTCAGTACGCCTCACAGTGCTTCAGTACGCCTCACAGTGCTTCAGTACGCCTCACAGTGCTTCAGTACGCCTCACAGTGCTTCACAGTACGCCTCACAGTGCTTCGGTACGCCTCACAGTGCTTCACAGTTCGCCTCACAGTGCTTCGGTACGCCTCACAGTGCTTCGGTACGCCTCACAGTGCTTCAGTACGCCTCACAGTGCTTCACAGTACGCCTCACAGTGCTTCACAGTACGCCTCACAGTGCTTCACAGTACGCCTCACAGTGCTTCAGTACGCCTCACAGTGCTTCGGTACGCC